ACTACTTTTTATTATATACCAGCCCGCGACTTCATCCGCGTGGTATTAGAAAACATACTAACTATAAATAACAAAAAGCTACATATCCCTCAGGATCTAGACTTTTCTCGGGGATGAACCTTATCCCATATACACTCCAGACTTTGTTTTATATCTGTGCCAAATTTCAATAAGATATGTTGAACCGTTGCAGAATGATCGAGTAAACATTAAAAAACTAAATTAATGAATCCCACGGGAACCGTAACTATTCCGGGATAAAAAGTAGCCTATGTGTTCTTCCAGATTACGCTGTAAACCTGTGCCAAATTTCATAGAGATCCGTTCAGCTGTTTAGGCTTCAAACGCTAACAAACATCCATCCATCCATCTAAACTTTCGCATTTATAATATTAATAATTAATAATTAATAATTAATAATTAATAATTAATAATTAATAATTAATAATTAATAATTAATAATTAATAATTAATAATTAATAATTAAGTAATATTGACGTTTCTGACGCATAATAGATGGCGCTGTACCAAAACCGGGTTCTAGACTCTAGACTTCAAACTCCCACAAACATCCACCTAAACCAAAGTTACCCAAACTTTTTAGCTGACTTAGACCCCTTGCAGATTGTCGTAGACCCCTAGAGGTCGATATAAACCACTTTGGGAATTACTGATCTAAACATTCGCGTTTATAATATCAGTAAGACTGAAAATATCCAAAATATAATTTTATCTTTTTAAATTAACATTACGTATATTCACTAGATGGAGCTCTCATTTGTACGTCACAAATCATATTTACTAGAAAACTATTTTCACATGCCGTTTTCACTAAATGGCGCTGTTTTTACAAATTTTACATCCTGTTCAATAGATGGCGCTAATATCAAAAAATTTTAACCCATTTTCTCTAGATGGCGCTGTTACAAAACATTAATATAGTTTGTTTAATTTCCAGATTTACAAGATGATGTGCGACGGCCCCAACGGCAACCATCACAACTACGTACCATATCCTGACCACGTGGTGGTCGACGTCACCCCACTAGACCCTGACAATGACCACAAATACGCCCTCAAGAGAGTCACATTACTCGACCTGACCACGGACAGGACCACGCAAGTCACCGTCTCCCTCATCGTGGTCCTCATCGGATCCAGACCGGACCTATTCTTCTTACAAACAAACTTCGACATCAACGATATGGAAGTCAAGAAATGCATCAAATGCGACGAACAAGAGAAAAAGATCGACGAAGTACAAAAACATTGCTTCTTCAAAAACCACTGGCATTATTTCAAATCTGTACTCGGACAGAGCATTCAGAGTTGCAAATCGAGATATTTAAATTACACAGAAATAAATGGCAACACTGACAACAAATGCAACAACACGAATTGTGAAAAAGATGAAAATGACCTTGACTATGAAGTAATACCTTACAATGAGAAAGTGAAATGTGAATGCCAATCAGAGAATCCATACAGCAGTGGATTGGGTTTCGGAATAGATCCATTAAAACCAGTAGATGGTAGATCCAATCCAGTAGCCATAGATAAAAGTACCCATGAATTGCTTAACGCCCCCAAAGGTATTTATGCCCTCGGACCACTCACCGGAGACAATTTTATAAGATTCATCCCCGGAGGAGCCCTGGCCTTAGTAGCCCACATACATAAAGAAATTAAGACATTAGCCGAGTGAATTGGTACTCAGTGAAATAAATGTGATTATTTATATATATAATACTTAATTTTTTTTTATAATAAATTATTTTTTATACCCACCAGATGTTGTTTTATTTAACCTGTAATGTTATTTGGTATTTCGAAATATTCCCGCTAGGTGATTATTTTATAATACTGAAGAAAAAATAAAAAAAAGTAGATATAATTCATAGTATATTTTTTTTAATAAATTTTTAAAGTTTCAATTTTGACTTGGTTCATAGTTATCTTTTATAAGTCACGAAGTCACATTTGGTGTCAAAATTATCACAAATAATCCTCTCTTTCACATCCTAATGGGAATATATCTAATTACCTATAACTAGTAGTAGCGCAAATATTTTCGGAGGCCCTAATTTAAATCCTCTTCCTGCCTACCTAGTATGGGAGGGGGAAATGTAACAATGTCGGGGTCGAATAAAGTAAAAATTCTCTTTATGTGTCCCTTCGTAGATTAAAAGCAGGCAATGCATCTAGTATTGCAAATATCTATGGGCAACAATTTCTAAATTCAAGTCACTTGCTTTTTTTCATTTTATTATGAAAAATACTGTTAAAGTCAAATAAAATATGTAATCAAACTTATTAAGTATATGTTCTCCCAGACTATGTTCTACATCTGACTTTCAAGATCCGTTCAGCAGTTTAGGCGTAAAACTAACAAACATCCATCCATCTAAACTTTCGCATTTATCTTAGTAAAATCAAGGGCCTGTCCTACGAAATTGTAAGTTGAAAACAATCCAACGTGTAAAATATGTGATGGAAATATCGGATTTAGTAATCTTATCTGACAGGACGTCATTTAAAGCTATCTGAGCCTCTATCAGTCAGTTGTGGGACAGGCCCTAAGAGCAATACAGAACAGGAGAGGAAAGAAAGGAAATAACAAAGGCCGGAAATACACGAGAATACATTTATTAATAATGCCTCTAAATTACAAAGTTTATTTTGTAGTTGTTACATTACTTCTTATTTGTATTGTGAATTTTAAAACTTTACATTACCTAAAAGGAATATTCATTTAACATTTTTGAGAGATTCAATTTATACTTAAAAATAGGTACAAAAGTGTTTATTCTAAATAAGTAGATAATATCTAAAGAAAATATATGTTAGTATTATAGAAAATATAACTTTCTTATTCCTATATAACTATATGACACAATTTAAAGTTTTTTTTTTAATATAAGTTGGCAAACGAACAAGTCGCCACCTGAATCCATCGAAATGGAAAGCGACCGCTGCCCATAAACATCCGCAATTGCAGATGCGTTGCCTACCCTTAATTGACGGAGGAGACGCACATAAAGAGCATTTCCCGTGCCTAAGCATCTGCTCCACCGTCAAATCCACTTTTCCTTCACATTCTTTTCTCTTAAGTAAAGTGTGAAAAGGGAAAGGGACTAAAATTAGGCCTCCGACACTACACTCATCAGACTAAACGCGGAATTACTTCCACTTCACGCCTGTTTTCTGTGTGGTGGTTAATCCAAACTTAGTATTTACAATATGGCACTTTATAACTATAAACAACAATGTATACATGACTTTTATCATAATAATATAAATTTTATATAAAACAATTATTCTTAGATGTAAATATAAGTAAGACCATTTCTAACTCTTATTTCATAAAAGTCGTTTAAAAAATTCAATTTAAAAGTAATTTAAGTTATTTCAGATTAAATATTTTTATATTTTGAAAGAGTATACATTTTCTTACTAATATATTTTACATACAAGTTAAAATAATTATTGGAAACACTAATATATTAAATGCCTTGGTTTATTTATGTCCTAATTATTCAAGCCTCATATTGACATAGCTGTAGCCAAATTTGAACAAACATGACTCATTTTAACAAGTCCACTTAAAAACACCAATATAACAAACTAACTTTGCATGTGATTTAATCTAAAAGGAATTAAATAAAACTTGTTAAGTATTCCAAAGAATCTTAGACAATATTCAACATTTAAACTAAATTCCTTCCAAATGCCAGCCATTTTTTAAATGCCTTACTATCATTTAAGCTTTCTCACCAAAGTCCGTCCATGTTTTTTTTATAAGAGGAGACAAACCAGCGACGGAAACACAGGAATGTTCAACAACGCCCATAGACATGCAACACCAGAGGAACTTCAGATGCGTTGCTGGCCTTTGAGGAAATTGTAGGTTCGTTTTCAAAGAACCCTAAGTTGTATCGGTGTAGAATTAAAGAAAACAAAAGTATGTGTTCTTACAGACTATCCTCTACATCTATTTCAAATTCCATCAAGATCCATTCAGCAGTTTACGCTGTAAACTCTAACATCCATCCATCTTAACTTGTAACATAGTACAGTCTAGATTTCTATACAAAATTTAAACTGATTTCAATACAATATAAATTCAACACTACCACCAGTCTAATATATTTAACAATTTAATAAACAGGGTATATAGATAAGAAAAATCTGCATGATAAATTATAAAAACAAATACTATTCCATATAATACCAGCATAAGTATTATCAGACAAAATAAAACAACACTTTGTCAAGAAATCAAAATTGGCGGAAGTTCACGCAACAAATTCCGCAACTTCCTTAAATCCTCGGCCAATACTTTTGGCAACCCTAAAGATTCTATTGGCACCGACTGTGGGTGATTTATGGCCAAAAACATCAGCACCGTCTCCCGCAGAGTCCTAACACTTATAGTTATGTTCCAATTTGTTCTATACGCCATCCCACCGATGTTTGCAGGAGCTCTGTATATAGGCTTATTATTTATCACATATCTCTCTTTTGTTGAAACATCAGTGAATTCCCAAGGATGTGTTATGTATGTGTTTATATCGAAATACGTCCCAGCTTCTAGCTTAATGAAATGTCGCTTCGCACCGTTAAAATCCCTCCACCATACATCGACAGGGCGCCTTGTCCGATTTGTGAATCGAAGATACGCACGCTGTACTGACTCGATTGATCTTACCACCACTCGTTCTCCTGACTCGTTGATCTCATATTCTAAATCACCGTCACCAGCTCCCGCCATTGTTTTAATGTTTTAATATTAGCTATTAACTAACGATGAATTTTAGTTGTAGCGATGAAATTAAATATACCGTAATAAAATATTACTGTATTCAAATAAATGGCGCCAAAAGTAAAAATTAATCATGTTGGCAGATCTGATTCACTTCCGCTACGTATCCAGCAAGATGGCTGTTTGTGTCGCTGTTATTGGTAAAGATGTAAGTTTTTACACTAATCTCACATTCATTTTCATCATCACTTTCTTTTTGTATACATTACATTTTTATACAATTAATATGTCTTTATCATTACTACAAAATCATCTTGAAAACAACAAACATTGCTTATCGTATTGGCAAAATAATCTCTTGTCATTTTCATTTGACATATTGATATCGATAAGAAACCATAAACAACACTTCAAAAAGTTGCCCCTTTTCAAAACCTACAAGTTACTGTTTTAAGCTTAAAATGTTTTTTTTTTTAATTCCAGAATTCCCCATTGTATATCGGTGGTGTGGGCAATGACACCAACACTGATAACGAACTTTCTAGGCAATGGCTTGTCCACACAGCCCTTGATGCTTTGGAAGAACGTTTAGCGACAACCAATACCAATACTGCGAACTCTGCTTCAAATGCTTCTCGTACTGATTTACGCGATTTGTATTTGGGATTACTTTATTCAACGGACACTCATAAAATGTTAGTGGCCAGTTATCACACATTCTTTAGTGTTGCTATCATTTAACTGTAAAATTAAAAAATCTTTTCAGATACGGATATGTGACCAATACAAGGATTAAACTTGTTCTAGTAACAAGCTCTACATCGCCAAGTGGCAGTAATATACGAGATGCTGAAGTACGGACCGCTTTACGTCGATTACACGCCCTGTATGCTGATGCCATTTGCAATCCATTCCATTTGCCGGGAGAACAAATTACATCATCGTAAGTAACAATTATCCAATGAATATAGATTAATTAAGAGAGATTTAGTACAAAAAAGTGAAATAATTTCTTTTTTTCAGGAAATTCGACAAACAAGTAAAGAATTTGCTGTTAAATAATGTTTAGTCTTTTATAACCTTGAACAATATTAGAAAACATTGTAATGTAGTGAATTTATACTTTGCTAAGAGGATACAATGCTTTTGTCCTTCATATTAAGAAATGATTATGTTACTCAATTTTTATAAAATGAATAATTGTACGTTGCTATTTTATGTAAGTTATGGTTTAATAATTATAGCATTCCATATTTACTTGCGTTTTGATTTTAATGTAACCAGATAAAATCTAAGAAAATATTACATTCCAAATATCTTTATTTTGGTAAAGTTTGATTTTTAACATATTTCAACTATCTTTATGATCTGTAATAACCATAGACACGAACTTGAAGTTTCGCGCCATCAATAAAAATATTCTTTCTGTGTGACGTGAGAAGTCAAGCTGTTCTCCGGTTCAGCGCTGAGCAATTTTTTTTCGTGAAATTGTTTATCTCGGCCGGGAAATCGCATCAAAATGGTAAGTAAAAGCAATATTTTACATGTTATATTGAATAAAACTAAATTTGGCGAAATAGATAACTCGGAAACAACATTTGAAAGTTTTTAGGTTATGACACGTGCAACACATGTATTTCGACATTTATTTTTGTTTTATAAAGCTTAATTTGTATTTGTCTTAAGTTGAGAATAGAATCCTCATTATCACTTAATTGAATAGATAAAAGAGAATTTCGAAGGACGTTTCACGATAATTTTATTAATGCATTTTCAGGCAGCCGCCGTCGTGTCTGGGAAGGACATTGAGAAGCCTCAGGCAGAGATCTCTCCAATCCACCGCATCCGTATCACCCTGACCTCCCGCAATGTGCGCTCGCTGGAGAAGGTGTGCGCAGATCTGATCAATGGCGCCAAAAAGCAGAAGCTTCGCGTCAAGGTAATTGAAAAAAATCTATTCAACTTGTTATCTGTATGGCACATACTATTATATACACATACATTAAAACTAACAATCAGAATGCAATGTTAATGTTGGAAGTCTTAAATACAAACTATAAATATTAGCAATATTTAGTCAAACGTAAATAAGTAAAAGCCTAATAGATCGCAGTATTTTTCTCACGCATAGAGATTTCTATGCAAACCATAGTTTCTCACTTATAGAGGTCTACAGACGGCATCAGACAATGACTAGCTTATAAAGATTTTTCTCTAATCCAAGTTTCTTATGGAATATGTCCATCGAGATCTTATAGGGACTCACGTCTATAGCTTCCTCTCTTATTCCTTGTCCTACACACGACACACATAAGGATATTGTTAGTCAAGATCAGATGATGACTGGCTAATATAAGGTTCTAACTTATAGATTACTCACTTATCTAGATTCAACAAAAAAATTATGGAATTCCTGTGGCCTTGGATCTTTTAATGTTTCTGCACCAAGATGAAGACACTGCATGTTAATGGTGCAGTGTTCACCAATGTGGTGCTAAAGGAATGCTGTTCAAAGTGCAGTGTGCAGCCGACCTTACTGCACTCTGCTCATAGGATAGCCACAGTTTAAATTAGAAATTGTTGTAGAATTAATTCTTCACCAGAGTGTGTACATTTCATAGACCACTACTAATTTTTTATTTGAACAGCTGTAATTTCCTTGCAATTCCTTGCATGGTTTATAAAAAAATATTCTATAATAATTCTTTTTGCAATTTTAATTGATGACTGTGACTTGCAACACAATCCACATTTATTGAAATAGCTTGCCTTAATTTTTTTCCAATTTATGGTCACATTAGAAACCTCTAATATTATCTACTATATCTATTTACCTATTTAAAAAAAAGGCATCAAAATCTGTTGCATAGTTTTAAAGATTTAAGAAAATAGGGCCAGGCAGTTTACTGAAACTTTGTTTTATACTTTGTAGAAATATATTAATCGTCTATTTCTTGTTTCCAGGGTCCAGTGCGCATGCCCACCAAGATCCTCCGCATCACAACACGTAAGACACCTTGCGGTGAAGGTTCCAAGACCTGGGACAGGTTCCAGATGAGAATCCACAAGAGGGTGATAGATCTTCACTCACCTTCGGAGATTGTGAAGCAAATTACATCTATCAATATTGAGCCGGGTGTAGAAGTGGAAGTTACTATCGCAGACGCGTAGGCACATCTGCCGTAATAAACTATTTTGAATATATTTTGTTTTCTTTACCGACTCTGTGGGAATCAAATTATCCAGTAATAAATATAACCTAGTCACTCAATGATAATGTAGCTTTTTAATAATTTTAAGAATTATTTAATTGACTCTAGTAGTTTATGAGTTAGTTGAATACAAAAAAATCTTTTTTGAATACTGGTATAGATAACTTGGAAGAATTTTGGCTTTTGTCCGTGCGGAATTAAAAAAAAATTTAGTAGTCTATGTTTTCTTCCATTATTTTCTACATCTATGACTTGTTTAGGAATACGAAAAAAAATCTATCCAAACATACGTATTTAGTCTACGTGATTTTAGGCTATGTTGTATGCTTTGAAAATTGTTGAAATTGTTTACAAAGTGACTAGTTTCTTAGGAAATCTATTTTTATAACAATAACTTCGATGTATCATCAATAGTGCTTTAGATCATTGACGCCTACATATTGTAAATTACTAATGTAAACGCATAAACTCATCATTCTACAGCAAATTAAAAAAAAATCATTACAATCTTTCTAAAATGAACATCTATGAGATTTTAATTTACAAAAGTTATACTTTTTAAAATTGACAAAAAAGTTATCGCTGAAATATAAAAGATAGGAAGAACGGCTTGCGTAATATAATTGGTTTTGACTAAAATGGTATTTTTTTGTAATAGACTTTCGGTTTTTTTTATTTCCGATTTGTGAAAACAATGTCCTTTATTCTGCCTTCCATTACATTGCATACCAATGGAGCCCTATCACGTAACCGAATATTAACATTTTTACTCGTAAATCGTAAAAGTAATTGGTTCCAAATAAATTAAAGCCAGAAATATAAAACCCTCGCCATCTATCGGAGGAATATAAAACTAATTTCTTTGGAATTTACCTCATTTAAACTTGGCGCTGGTCAGTCCTTGAGCGCACTAACCAACTGTATTAGTCAGATTTCTTAATCTTGGTTAGGGTATACAATATTTAGATCATATATAATCTAAACCAGAAAAATGCGTTCATGCAAAAAATGGAGAACTGACTATGTCAGACTATAATCACCGATTTGTTAAATCACAAAAGTTCATATTTGTATAACCGGCCGCCTACAGTCTGCATGCGGATATGATGTAACTGTTCAACCTACAAGCCTACCTTGAATTGTGATCAAATTCAACTGAGTTACTGCAAGGAACTCATTCTTTGAACGCATTACTGTCCATTATACGGCCTACTGTGATAAACTGATTATTAAATGAGTTCAGATAAATCATAGGTTATATCGTTTATATTTAGAAAGAGCATTTTCTTAATATAGTTTTAATAATGGTGTTCAATATGATTAATTGAAAAAATAATTTGTACTTACAGATTATCTAATTGAGGAACTAAAGAAATTACATTATAAGATAAAATTTCATCGAAATTCGTTTATTAGGATTAGTAATGTAATGGAATAATGTATCATATTCGAATCTAAACTTCCAACTTCCAACTATTATTTTTCTCTTAACAATTATATAGCCCTACGTACGTAGGGCGTCAAAAATAATTTTAGACTCATTTGAGTGTTCCCCTCCACGGAAATCTTTAGTAAAAGGCGAAAGATTTATACGTTTTGAAGGGAAACCAGAGTGAAGAGAATTTGCACTGACAAGCCTACACATTTCACTGTGATACACAATTATAGCGCTGTTTAAGTTTTGCGCAGCGCCATCTAGTGTTAAAATATACATATCACTTATATAATTTTATTATGAAAATAAATGTAACAATTAGGTTACGAAGGCTTTTTGTTTATTAGACCTGTCAACAATTACACAATAGGACAAATTACAACATCCGTTGAATTGTTACGGCGCGAGTGCATGGCCTAACAATTATTTAATTAAAACAAAGTGACCTATTACAATAAGTTACACGACCAACTATGCTGAGATGCTTTGACAAAAAATGTAATTTATTTTTTTGAAGCATTCAAATCAATATTAATATTTCTTACTTTAATGGATAATCTTGTGCTGGGTTTACATTTGATTAGATTTTAACAAAGAATATAGTAGTTAAATAAGAAATACTTTTCTAACAAGCTATTTATCTTCCACTCTTTTTTAGTGAACGAACAATGCATCGAATTTACGACCTATTAGATTTACGCAATGATGTAATACTTTGTCGTTGGTTATAAAAAAACAAACGTGCCTTGTCTGTGGCCGGCGCCGCGCTCCACTGCCCATAGACAATCGAATGAAATATGGCCGCTGTTTGCTATAATTTTGAGATCGATCTTAAAAATGGGTTGGTAGATTTGTTAATTTTTATTTAAAGAATTCTTACATTTTAGTTTTAGGGTCCATCTAGACAGTCCTATTTTATTTTAACCTAAATAAAATTGAGCTTTACGTATTTGAAACAAGGTTTACTTTTACTTTGCACGTCTTGTCGTAAGCAAGCGTAAAATACGTGAAACATACAATAAACCCTAGTTCCATTAGCATAAAGCTCAATTTTATGTCTATCTAAATGTACCCTTGTTCATGTCGTAGCCGAAATTGTTAGACAACCTTATCTAGTCTGTTTTTTTTTACAATGCCATCATTTTCCTGCCCTCGTATACCTTATGCCAAAACAACAACTTCAATCTTACAAATAATTATACCATTCTGAATTCTTTTTTTTTTAATCAAATCAATCTTAACGCAATCCAACCATCTCCTTTAATTTTTTTGGCAAAGTGCCACAGATTATAAATAATATATAATCTGTACCACCTTAATAAATGTTTACGTAATCCATCCTGCATTCATCTCATTATATTTTTTTGGCAGAATGCGACAAATTAAACCCTTTGTTAAAAAAAAAAACAACAAAATATAATCTGTACCGCTTTAATAAGTCGTTTCTTTCATGAACAAAGCAGCATTGCGGTATTTATGTAACAAGGAAGCTTTCTTAACCTAATACCGGGACACGCCATCTTGTGTGTTATGACATTAACGGGCATAAATCACGTAA